ATTTTTTTCAATTGTCTTCTATCTTCTCATTTGCGACTTGAAAGATTCTAAATTTTGAGTGCTCAAGTTGTACGCGGTATGTCAAAAATTTAAGCTCTAAATATAACAATATGCTTTTATACTTATTATTGATGCTACTTTACACGCAATTATTAACATTAAGGAGATAGGATATATGTCCGTGAATTTGCAGCGCATCTATTATTCATTGTTCAATATATACGCAGTCATTTTTGCATTCAGTTATTGTGTAAGTGTTGCATATAAGAGCATGATTTTAATTGAGGATTTCATTTTAAGTTCTAACTTTGAATTTGTTTGCTTTTTCATTAGGCAAGTTGGGATACATTACAGTAGCTTGTTCATAGAAGATTTATCTAAGTAGCTTTAGGTGATCTAACTGAAGTCCCCAATAAAAAACATGCTTTTACATTTAGAATTCACTTAATAAATGAAGGGAACATTACAAGATATGACATGCTTATGCAACACTTTAAGAAGGATGGTTAATGTGACATGTTAAAAATGATATCAGTTCAGGAATTATTGCAAAACTATGGATAGGTGAACAATCATTTGTTTATCTTGATTTCGGTAGGTGGTAATAACTCAGTAAGGCCATATACAGTGCAGACCTAAATATAGAATAAATGTTCAAGTTTTGTAACTAGTAAAATACATTGGAGTCTCATGTTTCATATTTCAATTTCAATAACCGTAAAAGCCTGATTCTAGTTGAAAATTGAACACTTCTTTATTTTTAGAGAAAATTGTTCTTTATTTAACATTAGTTCATAAGGAAAATCTTCTTTTCAAAATATACAACATACGGTAAAAATGTTGCTTAGTCTATCATTCATTTTGTTTGTTTAACTTTCCATTTTAAAAAGTAAAAACATATTAAAACACTTGTATACTAAATTATATTGCTGTTTATTAAGAAAATAAACTATACTTGAATAGTGAATGTTATTTATGATGTGTTTTAAAGTATGTAAAGCTAGGAAAAAAGACTTCTGTTTAATTCTCAATGAAATCATGAACTGACATAAGTTAAACTATCAAGAAAATGCACAGAAACATTGGACAGTGGTTTTGTTTTTGTATAGGACACTTCATCAGCTTATACCTACGACGTCACTGGGTATCTGACATAATAGGTTAGTTCATTTGGCAGTTAAAAATAAAAATACTACTTTTCATGTTAGAATTTATTATATTACGTAACCTAATAGAAATGATACTTTCTATTGAATAAATACTGTGATAATAGAAAGCGATAAAATTTTATTGATTAATTATTATAGTGCTAACTATTATTATTTCAGTAAAATTTTGTGATAAATGACGTTAGCTTAGATTGACTCATGAATTCGATTGATAAATGACGTTAACACATGTAGAATCATTTGATACGTTTGTCAGGCAATTTAGAAGATTTGCATAATGATGTGTAGCTAGTAGAAATAAGAAGTGATTGGCCTCTGAGTGTGGACAGACAGATACTCAGCTTATTGATATGCCATCTCCTTCCTATTATATATATATATATATATATATATATATATATATATATATATATATATATATATATATATATATATATATATATATGCTATGGACTTACTGTGAATACAGACTTTCTTTAATCATGTTCGATATAATATTGTCAAACCCATACTCTGATTCTCTATATCTAGACGTGAATCATGCATCTGGTATAACGAAACCCTATTTGTAAATAGCGTATCGCTCGACCATCTAGTTTAGTAGCTGCATGATCTCGGTAACCAGTCGTCTAATAATTGTGTACCGTGGCAATGGAAATATTTTTATTCTGCTGTTATATTACATAATCATTGTTAGTTTAAGCTGAGATTTCTCTATAACTTAAGAGCTAATCAGAACAAGAAAGTATTTTCAGTTGACACAGATAAGAAATAATCCCACTTATCATCCATGTTTGTAAAGCGTACTACACTATATAGTGCTAGAAATACTTATAATTAATAACAAATTTTTTGTTCCACTATACGGTGTAAATGATACAGTGGGGGAAAAACCACACAAAATGATTAGGTATTGACAAAGATTCTATTCGAAACATAATTTCATAAAATTTCTTCAAATTAAATTTTAAGTTAAACCATATCTTTGTAGACACTACAAACAATAGGTACTCTTGTATTGTACAAGTTGCCTGAAATAGTCATAAATGTGATTTGAATGTTCTCAAATAAGCGTCATGTGTTATTTCGTCTACCTTCCATGGATTTTAGACACAAACATTGTGAATAATTAGAAGGAATAATTATATAAGTATTTATGACTAGAGAAAGGATTGGAAATGAATCTCTAATACGCATACCATTGTTAGACAACATCGATATATTTTCGCCCTCGATAACAAACTATTACTTTCTAAATGCTCTAAATGACAACGAATTGATATAAAAAGATGGATCACATCAATCAATTGCACAAACCTCGAATTAATGGGATTCAAATTTGATTAGTCACATCAAGGTCACTTCAAAACACCAATAATATGGAATTGACTCTAGAGTTTTTGAAACTAACTTCTCATTCGTTTATAACGATAATAGTCGAAGTTAAAAAATCCATCAATTTGACAAATACTTATATTTCACTGGTTGAAATCATGAATCCATTGAAGCTAGACCACCATGGAAAACCTGGAAGCACTGGACGGCCGTTTCGTCCTAGTATGGGACTCCTCAGCAGTGCGCATCCAAGATCAGTTGTCTAGTTGGTTAAGCGCCTGGCGCGAGACTGATAGGTTCTGGGTTCGAATCTCGCGAGAAGCGGGATCGTGGATGCGCACTGCTGAGGAGTTTCATACTAGGACGAAACGGCCGTCCAGTGCTTCCAGGTTTTCCATGGTGGTTTAGCTCCAATGGATTCATGACTTCAACCAGTGAAATTTCTAAAATCTTCACCCAATCCATTCTGTAAATACTTATATGACTCCGAAAACAATCATGAATTTGTGTGGCTGATGAAATTCAGACTACCTCACCTCACTTTCATTCTATCTATGTAGACTCTAGTTTTGAATCATGTTTCGACTTTGTACTGAATTTTATTATTCAACTAATCCCCAAAACTACAGCTCAACCAAAATCTGAGCTTAAAGACTGTATTTTGATCAATAAACAACACGAATTGTGGTTCAAACTTCTATGATGTAGGTGACATTACCAAGGTTTAACTTGATAATTTTAAGTAATACGAGCATTAGGTAGATTTTTACCAATAAATATAATATATATGTAATATCCTAATGAGTACAAAAATTAAGTTTTTAAATTTTCCGATGTTTCGTAACTCAGTGTAAGTCATTTCTTCAGAGAATAGTGGGATTTATGACGGGTTATCGAAATTGTTAACAAATAGTTAAAATATATGTTAACAAAATTTTTGTATTATTTAATGAGTTATAGTTATTTTTTATTCTGAGAAAATAGTTTCCTACTGTGAATTCCTGTGAATTTTTGTCTTAAAACGAACAAAATCCAAAATAAGTTCATTTTACTTGCAAATGAAGATCTGTCATTCTAAACTATTATATATATATATAACACTTTGAAGTTTGTGCTGATGTTGTTGTCTAAATAGATCACATAATCTTTACAGTTCACTGATCAGATTAGAAAACCGGATGTTAATAATAAACACTGATTTATTGATTTATGTAGAAAAGAAAACTTCACTAAGACCATTTAAAAATATTGACAAGAATTTGAAATCTGTCGTTCTAATGACTTTTATACGGTATGTTTTACTGGTTTCGAGTCCTGAAGTGAACATTAACTCTGAGATGTAGGTCTATTCAGCTGACGAATTTCACATAAGACAAAACGGGCATCCTGGATTCTACTGTTAGCCACTATCCATCTTTACTTATAATCTTGTGACTTAAGGCGATTTCGAGGCACTGTGCACAGTATGCACATGTGCCAATAAAAAACCGATCATTTACAGCCCTAAACATCAATGGGATGATTCAAACAAGCAAAACCAAGTGAATGTTGAGACTTTATTGTGAAAAAATTTACTTTTCCATATTCTTTTCACTAACAAACTAACTAACATGGAACTTTAGATAATCAGTATGTCGAATGAGTAATTATAGAACAATTGGATTTCATCGAAACACATGAAAATAGTGTCGGTTTTTATTATATTCTGTATGAATACCTTAAAAAGACTCTGTCGAACTGGACATAAATTTCTGTAGAATTTCTTTTTTGTTCAGTATATTTATCTTATTTTTTATGATAATGAAGATAGTTAGTAGATTAATTCATGGTGTTGTCCAGAATGACGATGATTAAATCACCCAGCTAAAATACCGAAACTCCATCAAAATAATCTTTTTAATTGACAAACAATCGGTTGAATTGCATATCTCAACAAGTTTTATTACCGATGATTATTTTCTTCTACCCATTACTAATTGATATTGGCAAAAAAAGCTGATAGAAAAATAAGAAGCCCCAGACATTTGTTTCGTTTCAACTTTGGAATTTTCCTTGATGTACACCTACGATCATACATCTATAATTTCTTCAGTAAACTGTAAAGTTAACCGACTAGGAAGTTAGACAGTAACTTAATAATAACATTGAATGAATATTACGTAATATCAAATACTGAATAAAGTTACGCGTATCTACCAATGAATTTCAACTCATTCATTCAACAACAACAGCAGTAACAAAAATCATACTTATCGCATGCTCTGTAGCTCGTAAGTCCTCTCGCCTATATCTCAGTAAACATACACTATTAAATAGTATCTAATGAAGATGATATGTTTATTCAATGTTCATTAATTATTCAATAACTTTCTAGTAAAGGTTAATTTTTTCATAAAAGTACCCTACGTACTTTTAATGAAATCAATAACGTTTAATAATTATAAAATAGTATTTATTTAGAAGTTTATACAAGTTTTTGTTTTATCAAACATATAGATTCTCATTTAGTTGAGATGATTCCATTGAAGCTGGGTCACCATGGAAAACCTGTGGGACTCCTTAACAGTGCGCATCCACCACCTCGCCTCGCGGGATTCGAACTCAGGACCTATCGGTCTGTACCACTAGATCACTGAGCCGGTCGGCAACCAACGGTGTTAATATCTAACTTCAACTAATCCACCATTGTCATCAGTGAGTTACTATCTCCACAAAACCCCTTCTGATATTCTCATTTATTATACTTTGTATCATGTTTAGTTGTTCAACTTAACAACAAGGCATAAAATATAATCTATGCATACTTTCATTATTATTAAAATACCGAAAGAATATGATCCCATTAAATACTAAATGATCATTTACGATCTATAGTAGGATGTTAATATTCTTTACAATAAACTATAAATCGTAATGTGTTGAATACTTTGATAGTTCAGTTTTAATTGAATTCATTATTCCTTAATGATAAAATATTATTCTTGTATTCTCTATAAATATAATCAGTAAAACGAAAGAAAAAAAACAAACATTCATTACAATAGGAACAATATATTGTGATCTTATATCTGACTCGAATTGGATTATATGAATGTTATTGAAATATACATATCAATTATCCTCGTATATAATAATCGACTTAATCCGTATAAGTGAATAACGGAATTAAATAAGCCATATATGAGAATGAACTTTAAATATTTTTATTTCATGTACTCATTGATTTAAACAAGTAATCAGGGAGATGAAACGAAGAGGAAAGAATGAAACAGTTTGACGAAGCGAAGAGAAGAGAGTGAAGTGTAATGACGTGCAGTAGAGGTGGCTTATAGACAAACTCTACTTAATCAAGTGTTAATCAATATTTATAGTCGCACAAAAATAAGCTACATACATGTGATGAGTAGAATAAAGTGTACACAAAACTTATATGAAAACAGTTAAGGTTGATAAGAAAATAATTAACAAGGTCAAAATGTAGCTTAAGGAGATGGATAAGTTGGTCTACTCAGAAGATAGAATGAGTTATATATATATATATATATATCCAGTGATTATAACTTCAATCAATTAGTATTTGTTACTTACTAGTCCGAAATAATCTTTGTATCTAGCTTACCAGTCCCTAATGAAACAATGTGCATGTCCTGGGTTCCATTATTTGTCGCAATCTATCTATTCTAATTCTGTCTTTGCGTTGAGTAATCCAATGTTAATGTATCATGATTATCTAGTTAATGAAAATGAAGTTCGTTCTTCTATTTAGCTTCTAATCGATATGTTCATTCTTGAACAATCTTCTTCAGAATGATTAGGAACACAAATGTATAAATATTTCCATTATTTGAAAATTATCACCTGAATCCCAGTTGTCCTGAAAACAGTCTTTGTGTTTATGTGTGTGTGCGTTGGCTGTTTCTGTTCCACTGAATGATCCATTCAGTTTTTATAATTTGACCGAAAAATCATGTTAATTCTGTGCTTTATATGTCTTTCATTAAACTTAATCTAGCATGTTTAACTTAAAGGAAAACGTATACAGTATGGATTCTTTGTTAGGCCTGCTGACCGCCATTTTTACCATTAAACTATCCCAAAAACTCATATCAATCATGTTTCAACATGATATGTAATTAATGGACATTTTAAGCACAGCATCATCCATATAATACCTTATTTGAGGAAGTATATGCAATTTCTGCAGTGTAATTATCTCACTTTTTATTTGTTATTGCTGTCCTTTAATTAATATTTAATGAATATTAATTTATGCATTATTAAACATACGCTAATACAGTACTGTAAAATTCCACTGGGCAAATTTTATGTTGTGGATGGTATTCTTGATGGACTGACCGCAGTTAGGTTGCCATTGAAAAGCCATACATATATATAGTAGAAGCCCCATATAATGCATATTCGAGCATTTAACTTAATCAGGTCACTCTGTCCTGGCCTTTTCTTCCTAACTGCTGCTAAGTGTTATTGATTATTTAGATATCTGCCTCTGAATCTCGCTCCTATGCATTTGTTGGTTTATCTCTTTTCTTTTCGCCTTCAGAATTCCAAGTTAGGTCTTTTTAGCGGATATTGACAATTTCCAAAATATGTGTACAATCCAACATGAAAACAACATATACAAGCGAAAAACAACTCGAAAAATAATAATTCAAAACAACACGATCGTTTTCATCTTAAAATAAATCTAATGCAATTTATAAACTATGGATTATCCAAACATGAGACGGTGGATAACACTTCGAACACTTCACTTCTACCTGAAGTTTGTGCTCATGACGTAAAGACTTCCTATATATTTTAGGATATCTATTAGATTGTATACAATTTAAAGTAAATCCTAAGCTCGTTTTCGCTTCTGTGAGACGTGCATTAAACTTCAGAATCTGATTGAGTGTCTTAAATGCAACGGCGTCCCCCCACGATTTTGTTCTAATCTACACAATGGTAATCTTTAATATTCTAAAATCGTGTGGGGACGCTGTTGCATTTAAGACACTCAATCAGTTTCTTAAGTTTGATGCACGTCTCACAGAAGCGAAAACGAGCTTAGGATTTACTTTAAATTGTATACAATCTAATAGATATCCTAAAATATATAGGAAGTCTTTACGTCGTAAAAGAATCTATCCTAATGCAAAAACACTTGAAAGACATGTATAGAATCAAATTGATATTATTATTATAGCTCAAACAATATAATTGCTAGACTAAAAGTCAATTTTCATACTGATCTTAATTAGAAGACTTTTAAGGACTTAGAAATATGAAAGATTTGTAAATTCCTATTATCCTAGAAAAAAGTGGAAAGAAAAATTTTTGAAACTCAGGGAGTTATTCTTGACATTTTGTCTGCTTTTTATATTTTCCTCATTATAAACTTCCATTTGACTTAATAACTATCATCTGGAATGGATGCTATTTATTCTGACAGATATAAGTAGTATACATCTTCATTCAGAATTGAAATGCCTGCCAACTAAAGGTTGAATTGTGAAGAGAAAGAAAGTAAACAGAGAGCAATTGTAATAACAATAAAATTGAAAGAATCATGAAGCATGTCATGGACAACTGAAGGAAGATGTTCAAATAACGTATTTTATGTATGGTCTCCACATTATACCATCACATGTTCCTTACCTGTGATCTCGTTCACTACAGTACTATATTTTATTTTTCACATAGATCTAATATTCAGCTTTGCAATTATAAGTGTCATTGTTATGAACTCATTAAATTTTATTAGTAATAAAATCATGTCTTGAATTTTACTGAAAACGTTAGAGTTTAAAATAATCTAAAGCAGCTCACATGTAATACTACTATTCTGTTCTGATTAGTAGTTAGAGAGCAAATTGATTTTGTATAATATTATCGTAATCAGTAATTACGTTACCGAAAACTCGATTCTATTAGATATTGGTAAATTCACGATACTTATAGGTCAACAACAGAATTTTATTTAATTTGTTTTCTTGTTTCTATGTTGTTTAGTTGGTTTTGTCAATCGATAGGATTTTGCGTTATTAGCTGAGTCATTAGGATATCATATCACATGATTCATTCTCAACGCCTCAACTATAAAAATATATCTACAGGCATAAAGTAAATATAACAGCCATTGTAAAAACAGAAAAGTATTTGTGATTTACATATTTATAGGATAGAACACTAGAAATGCAAACATAACCAATTAGTATTAGTGACCACAATAATAATGATATCTAATGTTAGGTAAATAGATAGTAAGAGATTTAAGGGGTGAGAGAGAGAGAGCAAGAAGGACGTAAGAGTGGACGGTAAGAAGAAAAGACTTGTTACCTTATTCTTAGCTTTATCAATACAACATATGTTAGGAAGATTGTTGTTTATTTTAAAAGTCTATTCAACTTGTTTTCAGTAAATTGTAGTGAGTCATTCAAATAACTATTTAGTGTATATACAAGTATTGTCGTTTCTCATGTGTTAAGTAGATACATTATTCATGTAATGTAGTAAAATTTGTGGTGACACCATCATAAATCTTGACTACTACTTAAAAAAAAGATACATGGAATGTAGGAATGTAAAACAACGACTAAATATTCTGCATCTACACAAGTAGTAACAACAATATAAGTATAGATGATGGCGAACAGTGAAATTCAGGACGCAAATTTCGTCCCATTCGGAACTTGTTCAAATAATCAATATATGTGAAGTGATAACAATAATTGTTAAATTTATTTGATGTTGCCAAAAGAATTTACTTAAGGATTTATAATGATAAGAATTGGAGAAAGTAAATAAAACAGTGAAAATCGTAGAAATTTTCTTCAATTAAGTTTTAGCTTTGAAAAAATTTTATTCAGTGTGCATTGGCTTTCAGCGATTTTGCTGGTTAACATGTATAGCGGAAGTCATACATAAATTGTCCAAAACAAACTTTACTAACCATTATACTAAAGAATAACCATATGATGACCGACTTCAAGGTAGATTTTCCAAAATCTTTGTAAAAACCTAGATTTGATTAGTAAAATCAACGAAATCGGGAGTTAGATAATATTCCATCGATAGTATTGAATGGTGTTCACGTTGTTATTGGGAACTGGCTGAAATCAAAAATGTAAATAGCTTGATTTCAGGCCTGAAGTTATTTTCTTCAACGTTTTCAATGCTCATTAAGTATGCCACATCTAGTACTTTTAGGCACTTTTCCTGTTGTTTAATAAAATAGGGCTTCATGTAAAAGTATATTTCTTGACCAAGATTTCACTTTAAGTCATATATCTTATATTTGTACTCCCATTACTATGTCAAGCTATACTAGACATGTGTACAATAGATTATGAGGGTTGATTCCAGACTAATTCATTAGTCGAAGGTTCATGTGTTAGCCACGAAAAGCTAGCTGGCTTAGGCATCGTGTAATGCAACGATAAAATAATCAATCCATATACTGCTTTTTAACACTAGATAATGTCAGTTGAATACGCATCTTCAAATTGAGAAAGCTCGATCAAACCACTGTATAAAGAATTATCACAACAATACTTAATAATTTCATATTACGAAATCAGTAAAGTGGAAAGAAATTTCTCAAATCCCTCTTACTTTAGTCACAAAATATGATCTAGTAACATCACAGTATTGCATATATTTTGCTGTGAAGTTTTTTACAATTTTGCATTATTCTATTATACACTTGATTACAGTAAATATGCACAGATGTTTCACTCGAAGCACAACTCTTTAAACAACCCAGTAATATTGACAGTCACCAACAAATCATTTTTCTATTTCAAATCCGTAATAATATTTTATTTTGTAGCAATAGACTAGTGAATAATTTACAGAACTCTAATGACAGTTGGTCGATCAAGTAACCTCCCAAATCGGTTTGCATTCGTTCATTCCATCTAGTGTGATTAGTCATTGATCAATATATGGTGACGATGTTGATTTGTTTAAGAAAATCAACTGATTTCAATTTTTTTAAACAAAATTTATCTCATATTTGTACTTTTCTTACTCATCCATTTTAATATGGTGTGGGGAGAAAGGAAATGAGTATTTTTTATTTTATCCTCATCTCGTCATTCTCTGATGACTCATCATCATCAGTATATTTTGTTATGAGTAGAATAATTTTGTGGAAAATCATGATGGATAGACAGATATTGTTGAGCGATTGGATAGAAAAATAACATCCAGGGGAAATGGTAGTGTATCGTAATAACATATTGGATATTACAACATTTCCAGGCACATAAAAGTGCCAACAATTTTAGGACATACTTTTTTTTACAGAATCCTGATGATTTTTATCACTAGAAGCATTAGATGCCATGCCATTGGTCTAAAGTTACTATGATCTAATGAGAATTTGTAATCAGTGAAATTAATCACATGAACTCATTCAAAAATAATTCGCTTTGTATAATGAGTTAAATTACTTATTAATTCAAGATATCATTTGTTGTAATTTTATGATGATCCAAATTATCTTTCAATCTTAATTCTCAATCTCAAATAGAAAATATTTTAATGTTGGAAGGATACCTGAGAAACCGGTTTTATCTTAGATGACACTTTATATATCTGCAATCATGAATGTACTTGTAATTTTCGCGATATTCAAATCCATGTCAGACAGTGTCCAAATCATAGATATGGCCATTAATCTACGGGATTGCAACAGTTTTAAGAAATAAACAGTCATGAAATTAATTACTTAGTTACTCCTGTCACCCCTCGTAGAGTAACATAAGCCACCTATCAGCATTCTTCATCCAACTCTCTCCTAGGCAATTCTTTCTAGTTGATATTCATTATTTTCATGTCTGTTTCCAAATCTCAACGTAACGTGTCCTTTGGTTTTCCTCTTTTCCATTCCTATTCAGGATTCCAAGTTCACGCTTGTTTTGTGGTGCAGTTTGGTTATTTCCGTAATGTATGTCCTATCCACCACCAACGTCTTTTCCTAATTTCATTTTCAGATACAAGATGTTTTGTCCTCTCCCACAGTAGGCTGTTATTGATGATATTCGACCAACTGACATTCAGTATCTTACGTAGAAAATTGTTTAGAAATATCTGTAAATATTGGATGATGATGATTGTGGTAGTTCTCCACGTTCCAGCTCCGTACAGTAGAACTGTCTTGACGTTTGTATTGAAGATTGTGACTTTGATATTGGCTTACAGTTGTTTTAAGTTCCATATGTTTTTCAACTGTAGGAATGCCGCCTTAACTTTACTAATTCTCGCCTTTATGTCTGCATCAGATCCTCTCTTTTCATCGATGATGCTTCCCAGGTATATGAAGGATTCTACATTATCTAGAGTTTCTCCATCATGTGTGATTGTGTTGATGTTCGCCATATTGTATTTATGAATTTTGCTTTTTCTCGTGTGTATGTTGAGGCCCATTGAAACAGAGGCTTCTGTCACACTAGTTATCTTGTTCATGTGTATGGAATAGAAGTGCCAGATCATCTACGAAGTTCAAATCGTCCAGTTGCATGCAAGCTGTCCATTGTATTCCGTAATTCCTCTCATGAAATTACTTACTACTTAATAGTGAATAAGCGTATAGTAATATTTCAAAAATATTTAACTAATCATGAAACATATTGTAATTAAATTTTAATTAGTTCATTACAATTAGTATCCAAGTAAAATTTGAAACTATTTACCAAAAAAAAGATACCAATGGTACTAATTAGCGTTAATAAAACAGTTCTAATGAACATTTTTCATTTTTTTTGTTCCAAAGAAAATAAACGTTTTTACAAATATTTTCACCCCTTTTTAAGGAAAATATTTTTGCTTAACATAAAATTACGCAATCAGTTAATATAGATTTTCATTTCATTTAATTATTTTGATTATTATAATGAATAAATAGTGAAATATTAACATTAATCGTCAGTATGACGTGAATACAAGTTTTTTTTCGTTGCTTTAAATACTTATTCATAAATTATATTTCAATTATTGGGATGAATTTGTAAATGGTTCTTATTAGAATTGGGTTATACATTGGAATTAGTGACGTCAATAATACATGGTTTGATAATATTTTAACATAATGAAAAGTTGGATACTGTTGAGAGGTCTCGGTAATTACTTGGAACTAGGTAAATATTATCAAGGAAACTTTGACCAAGAAAATGTTGTCCACAATTTCATAAGAAAATTATAGAAAATGATCTACTGTATTGTAACTATCCTGAATAGACAGTTACAAATCTTATCACGTTTTCTATGTGATTCAAGAAACTAAGAGTCATACGTAATTCTGTACTTAAATAAACCGTGAAAAAAGCTCTTTTCCATACATCCATCTTTCTGTTTCATTACTTGAAGTTGAAGAGTGGGAAAGTGATTAAGAGCTTATTTGAAAAGCATATAAGTTAACAAGATTTAAACTATAGTTGAGTATACAGTTCAATCAAACAGTCATCTTTAGTGATTATTTTAAATGATATCCCAGAAAAGCCGAAAGATTTGCTAAGGCGGTCACAAGAATAGTCA